CCTGCTGCTAAGCAAATGTAATCTTGAGTTCAGGCAGCATATTCTCAATTATATTTATAATAATACTGTATTTATTTTGAAATAGTGAGATTCCTGATGTCTAGTCAGAAAATCTCAGCATCAGACAAGACTCTTGTCATCTCCAACGCCTCATCTTGGTTCTGCACAAGTTTTACTCTAAGCAAATGAAAAGTTATGGATTTAATCCTAGTGTACTTAAGTGGTACAAATGATACAGGGCTTGACTACTAACCAAAAATGTTGGCATTCAGATTTACCCAAAGGCACCTCAGAAGCCAAAACAGAGTATCTGCTTCCCAGCTTGAAATCCCCATGGATTTCAATCCCCTTAGTGCATATGGAGTTGCCCTGAGTAAGTATTAACTTAGTGGCAACTGACAATAACAGCAATGTTACATCTTTCTGTATGTAAAGATTACAGCATACCATCTCTATCCAGCTGAGGACATTAGTTGAGAGAGCAGGTTCTAGATCCAAACTCTCTGAGTTCCAACTGGAGTTTTTTCACTTTTAGTGTTGAGGCCTTCCTTTTTATCGTTGGTGCTGTTGGTCACTCCTGACCTGCGCTGCCCCTGTCAATGGACAGCAGAGCAGGATGAGAAGCACTGCCCACTTTTGCATTAGCCTCACAATCCCTGCTGGGCGTGGGCCAACTGTGGGGCCAGTTCACCTTATTGAAGGTCTTCATCTTTTTCAATGACCCACTGCTTTACCAAGAATAATATCTTTCTCTAGAAACTGATTGACCCCTTCTGAGAACATGTTCAATCTATGGAAGAAGTCTCACCACCTCACTTCTTTTTTTTTCCCCATTTTATTATACATTGTGTTTTCACACTGGATCTTTCCCCTTCCCATCACCTCCCCTCTCTCCATCCATCAGATTGTGCAACCCTATTATTAACAACCCCCCATCTTCAGTCCTCTGCTCTCCACCCTCCACCTCCTTGGATCCTTATACTTGCTCTACAATAATAGTTTTATACAGTATTTGGGCTTATAGGGAGGGACTGGAGAGCATTATGCTGAGTGACCTAACTCAGTCCCATAAGGACAAATACTGTATAAAATCATTATTATAGAATGAGTATGAGATTCAAGTGTGTGTGGGGGGGGGTGGAAGCAGAGGAGTGAGGATGGATGGTGAAGGGGTTAATTATAAGGTCATATAATTTGATGGATGGGTAGGGGTGAAGGAAATGGGAAAGATCCAGTGTGAAAAACAATATGTTTGATCTTTGTAAACCAGTATAAAATAAAATAAAAAATTATTGGTGAAGAAACTCTGACCAATATTTTGACACCATTATTTCTGCTGTGGAAGATCTTGCTTATATATAATTAATCTAGAAGGTTCTGAGATGTAGTATAGTAAAGAAAACATATTTCAGTTTATCATAACAAATCAGTATTTTATTTTCTCATACTGTTCAATGATTTTTTTGGAAGACACTCCACTATAGTTATAGCAGAGCTAGAAAACATAAATACTCATAAAGAACATTTTTTTGGACTGCTCATAAACCACAGGATTGTGTAAGGTTTCAATGTGTTGTACATGATACTTACACAGAATCAGGTGAGGTTTCGATATGTTGTACAAAGGGTCACTGTGAGTTGGAATGAACTTGACAGCATTTAACAACAAGAAGGGACCCAAATGGCATAGTGGGTTACCTATTAGGCTGCTAACCAAAAGAGCAGTGGTTTGAATCTACCAACTATTCCACTGAAGAAAGACAAGGTAGTCTGCTTCTGTAAAGATTTACAGCCTCAGAAACAGCAGGGGACTTGTCATGAGTTAGAATTTATTCCATGGCAATAATTTAGTGAATATTAATAAGAACTGATGGGAAATAAAATGGGGCTAAAACTTTAGCAAGTGCTCATTATATATACACCAGAAATTTCACTCACGGGTTTGTTTGTTTTTTTAGGGGGGTGTTTAATCAAATTGAATGCAAATATTAATTGATAGAAAGCATCATTGTATCTCAGGGGGGGAAAAGGTGAATTACACAAACAATTACACACCAGTTGATAGAAAGGGGTAGAGTAAGGTTTTGGAACAAGCATAGTTAACTACACTATTGCTTTGTCTTTTTAATTTTTAATTTTTTTCATTAAATAATTCAGATATATTTTGTTTTATCACATTAATTGCAGTTGATCAATATAATTTATTACAACATCTTATCATTCCTAACTATACATTGCCTTTCACTTCACCCTACCTCTCCATCTATTAACCTCGACTCCCTCTTTCTCATCCATGTCAATTCTCCATGTTTGCTTCTTTTTTCTTTCTTTTTAATTATTAAAAACATGTATGGGTATACAGGGGGGTGAGGGTTGGGAGCAAAAGAGTGACGATAGACAGGGATGAAATCACAGGGCTGCACAATTTGGTGGGCAGGGGTGGGATGGAAAAGGGAATGAGAAAGATCCAGTGGGGACCAGAAGAGACAGGGTAATGGTAAGCATAGTCCAACTGTGATCAATTTTTTTTTTAACAAATAAATCGTCTTATTCACTTGTGGGTTTCTTTTTTGGGAATGGGGTAGAGACTCTCTGGCTTCTTCAAGCTGAACAGGGGCATTGATGTGAAGCAGGAAGGGGAGCCCACTGTAACACCTTTCTGGTGGTCCTGGGTTAAAGCTGCATGCCTTCTTGTTCTGTTCGAAGATATTTTCCTGACATTTACTGCCCTCTGGACTGCAAAGTGTTTGCCAAGGTCAGTCCAGGGGGGATGGCTGGCTGAACCCTGAGGCTCCATTCTCCTTCACTTCCTTAGCTGGCAGTTATATTTCCCTTTTGTCTCTGGATCTGGGTTCAGGGTTAAGGTCTGGAGCAAAACTCAATGTGAAGTTTATCTATAGGGAAGGGAGCAAACCCATGTTCTTTCGAGAATCTTTGTCCTCTTGATGTTGAGCTTTGGTCCATATTGATGGCTGCAGTCAATTGCTTAGTTGTTTATAAGTTGTGCGGCCTGTTTCAATGCTTCACTCACTGTTTTAAAAATATTTGCCCATTTCCTGATAAATATAAGGTAATAAGAGAGATATTTACAGTGTTATTTACAAAAGAACTTTGTGATACCCTAATCAGATGTCTCTAAGTTGGGACTGGATAAGAGTTTTAAATTAAAAAAATGCAAGACTTGAGAACTCAATATCCCTGCCTAGGAGTATTACTTTCACCAACTGAAAATGTTTGGAGATCCTGTAGTCTCTACTTTCATTCCCCGGAATTTAGTGCAATATCCAGTCTCCAGACCTAATTCTGTTTCTGCTACTTATGAAATCTGTAATGTACTCCTCTGAGCCTTTGTGAATAACAGAATAATATTAATTCTTAATCCAAGGGTTTGTGAGTTTTATACTTAGCAGCAACAAGCTTATAACACTACTTAAAACATGTCAGCCCCTTAATCTACCAGCCTTCCTCCTGCATCCACTGATCAAAATATTTGTGTATTACGCAAATACTAGAACAGAGTCTATGGAGAACAGAAAATATGATGTCAACTGCTACTATAGACAACTGTTTTGTTGTTATTGTGTACCATAGAATCAGAGCTGACCCATAGCTGACCCTCCACTGGATTTTCAGAGGAAGATTCACAGGAAGATATTGACCATTCTTTTCCCATGGAGCAGCTGGTGGGCTTGAAACACATGCCTTCAGGATTACAGCACAGCGTCTTGCCTCTAGGCCACTAGAGCTTCCTAATCTACTGATTATTATTTAAAATAATACCATATTACGTGTATATGTAGAACCACCACTTAAGTATTTAGTAGTACAAGTATCAATGAAAAATATATAAAATATCAGTTTACAAATTATTAAAGAAGGACGTTTTGTTGTTTCTTATCCTACAAAACAGCTGTCCCAGCTTACATAGGGCCAAGTTCATGTCTTGTGAAATGCATGCATAGGAAACGGCAGTGGTAAATTACACTAAAATAATATTTATTTTAAACAATTTAATACAACATACAGAACCTAACAATAGGATATTTTACACTAGAGAAATAAGCCGTGATTGGGTCAGGCTGAGATTTTTCAGTTTGGAGTTATATCTCTGATGCTGTAACAAAATAAACTTATACTTATATAGGCTTGGCTGAGAAAGATACCAGAACATTTAGCACAAGACTGTCATGTTAAAGATAATAAATTTTTTATGACACTGGATGGGGCTCCAGTCCTCTTGCAAGAACATTGAGGTTCTATTCAAATGAAATGAATGCTGACATATTTTATTTACTTTCTTAATTTCTTTCTTCTCTACTAATGGGACTTTTTTCCCCTCCCTCATGCAATGTAAAGTAAAAAACTACCTCTTTTCCCCTTCTAAAATGTTTATTTCTTGTTACAGTAAAGCTTTGAGAGACGAATTTAGGGTCAGGAGGGAAAGAGTACTGCACAATAACAACTATTAATTTTATGGTGGGTAGTAGATCTTTAGTTTCAAGTGCAGGCAAAGAGAAAAACAAGAGCCACGACAAAGACCATTTCTCCCCTTCCATTTCTTTACATATTTTGCTACATTGACAGTGAGACCAAGTATAAGAGAGAAAAGTTTTATACAGAAATAAGTTCAAATAGGAGAAACGGAATTAAAGATTAAAAATTGCTATCAATTATACTTTAGGTATGTATTTAGATGGAGTTAAAAGATGAACATGTCATGTTCTCTGAGCAGTTGGAAGCTTCATCGGTCACTCGTCCCAACCTATACACCTCTTTCTTCTGTCACCATTACTAACTACCCTTTTACCTCTTTTCTGATTTCTACTTTATCTGTATCTTGGTACTTACACACACACACACACACACACACACACACACACACACATTTGAAAGGTAATGACAGATTTATTCAAACACTTGAAAATATTCTTTGAATCCTTATTTGGTATTAAAAACTATTGATAATGTTGGATTGATGCATTGATCTCAATCTCTTATAGGAATGGAATTCTGCTGTGGAGATGTTGAAGAGTGAGGCCCTGAGAATTCTGCTATCAAAGGATTATGTGGAGAGAAAAGATCTCCAGCTTTCTAATCAGAAACTCCATCACCTTCAAGAAGAAGTTGGTCGGCTCATGGTAGAAAGGGAAACCTGGTTAAAAAAGGCAAATGAGTTTTTTAACAGCACCAACAAGGTCAGTATGAGGTCAAGCTGATAATTTTAGCAAACCGTGTCAGACCAATAAGACTTGTTGCTTCAGCAGGTTGAGATTCCATGTAGAGTTTCAGAATTGACAGCACCAAAGAAGAGATTTTACATGCATTTCTATCAGATGAGGCAGCCTGTCTCATACAGATTTACAGCCTCTATAGATCTACAGACGTTACAGAGGCTTCCCATTAGCCAGAATCACCTTGATGGAATTGAGTTTGGGTGTTCTATTTGTAACTTGCATCTAAGGACTTCTGGTGGTGTAGTGGTTAAAATGCTTGGCTGCTAATCTCAAGGCTGGTGATTTGAACTCCTCAACCACTCCAAGGGAGATGGATAAGGCACTCTGCTTCTACAGAGACTTACAGCCATAGGGTTTTGAAACCTTATGGGCTTTGTCCTAGGGTCACTAATGGATTGGACTTGACCAAAATGGGTTAACTTACACTGTCAGTCTACAATAAGAGTTGACCATCTGGCAGACAATAAGTGCTGTTTCACTTATTGAAAAGAACAACTCTGTCTTGGAGATGGTGCCACCAAAGTGCTCCTCAGAGGCAAGGATGGAGAGACTTGTCTCACATCCTTTTGGCATCTCCCAGGACGGGTCAGTCCTTGTTCTGGGAAAGGTGGAGGGTCAGATAAAGAAAGGAAGACCCTCAACAAGATAACTTGGCACAGTGACTGTGACAACAGGCTCTAGCTTGTCAGAGATCGAGAGGATGGCAGAGGACAGGGCCGCGTTCTGATGTTCATGGAGTTGCTATGCACTGAAGTCAATGTGATGGCACCTAATTACAACCGCAAGAAAAATGATAATGTTGTTACAGTGCATTTACTCCAAACTCTATTGTTTATTGCTTTGCAAAATGTAGGGTTTTTTGCTATTTCATTCTCTCTACCTCAATTATTTAGAACTTTGCCAGGGCCTTGAGGTAAAAGGAATAGTACCTCTTGAAGTAGCAATTTAAAAAAATGAAGAATCGAATGGTTGCTTTCAAATGCAAAGTAATTCACCTCAGATCTTGGGAAGAGAACTCATGTTTCTTAACCTCAAAGACTTCTGATTCTTGCATCTTGCTGTGTAATGATTTGAATGCTATGGCATATTCATTATTCAGTTGTAATAATCTCAGTTAGAATTTATCCATAGTATAGCATTCTCTACATGCAGCCAAGTGGTAGGCTGAAAGATGTAGAATTCACTTATCTCCTCCTCAAAATATCAAAGAAATAATTTCTAACTATAAATATAAGAATCCCATGTAAGAAATGATGGATACTTTTATCCCAGCAAAACCAGAATTTGGAAGGTGGACATTTAATTATAATACTTGAAATAATTATTTGTAATTATTATTAAGAAGCAATCAGTGATGAAATTATATTGTAGTTAAAACCATTTAAACTAAAGAAACTTTTCTCAAGGCTGACTATGAATGGCTTTCCCCCCTTCACATTATAGAGACTCCAGATTTTATAAATATCACTTTACCCATTGCAGCCCCCATAACATTCATAAGCCTGTTGTTGTTAAATGCCATCGAGTCATAAGCAACTCATAGCAATCCTACGAACAAAAGACCTGGACACCTGTATAACTGTCATCCTTTCTCCAGGTTCATAGGGTTTCCAGAGGAAAGCTACGATGGAAGTAGATGCCACTCCTACTTCCAAGCTTGTTTTAATAAGGGAGCTCCACCAAACACTGTCCGCCAAGGGTAGCCACTAACTCATTTGACACATCAGTGTCACAGTGTTCAGTTTCACAGAACAAGTTACCTCTGTACAAAAAGGGGACATACCAGATTATTCTATTTATCTGGAATAAATAATCCTAGTTAAAATAAAGGGCTAGATATGACTTTTCACTTGAAAATTCACAGTTTGACTTACTCTTGGTTTTCCCAGTTGTGAGCATCCCCACTCTGTATGAAGTCACAACATAAGGAGCTGTGAGAAGTCTCAGATCTTACCCTAATTGCCAACACCAAGTTAACCTCCCCTCACCCCCATTTCATGCATGAAGACAGAAGTACTTGACTTTGTGTCAAAGGTGAAAGGTTCTGTTATCCCAATCAAGATTCCCGCAGGGGTGAGGTAGATGGACACAGAGAGGTGTCTCTACACACCTACCCCCCATTACCCCAGTCACTGAATCAATCCATCTCATTGAGGGTCTTTCTATCTTGCACTGTCCCTCCATCCTCCCAAGCTTGATGTCCCTCTCCAAGGACTGGTCCCTCCCGGCAACATGTCCAAAGTATGTCAGACGAAGCCTCAGAATCCTCCAAAGAGCAGCCCGGCTTCAATCTCTCTAGGACGAACCTGTTTTCTTAGCAGTCCATGGTATTCTTTTCCAGTATCATAACTCAAAGATATTGATTCTTCTGTAATCCTTAGTTATTGTCCAGCTCTCTGATCCATAGCAAGTGAATGCAAAGACCATGGCATGTATCAGGCACACCTTAGTCTCCAGACTGACATCATTACTCTTCAACACGCTGGAGAGGTCTCTGACAGCAGACTTTCCCAATATAATTTATCTTTTAATTTCCTGGCTGCTGGTGCCAAGAGTGTTGGTTGTGGAGCCAAGCAAACTGAAGCTGTTAACAATCTCAATCTTTCCAACATCTATCATGATATTGCCAATCTGCTCAGTGGTAAGAATCTTTGTTTTCTTTATATTGCGATTCAATCCATATTGAACTGTGCAGTTGTTGACCTTCTGCAGTAAGTGCTTCAGGTCCTCCTCAGTTTCAGCAAGCAGTATTGTGTCAATTTCATTTTGCTTTTTTAAGTAGCAAGCTGGAAAGTCATTTCCTCAACTCTGAATATTTTAAACTATAATCATGACAATTAGAAATGGCCCAGGTATTTAAAAGGAATCATGGCTGTGTGGTTTGGTCATATCCAGTAAGATAAGTAGGAATACAAAGCCTACAGAAGACTCATTTGATCTTCTCATTTCAGGCACCAACTCTGTACTTTCTGACTACAATTTCTTCCTTATTGTTTCCAACTTATTTTTGTGTTCCAGTCACCAGTAATTAGTAATGCGTCTTGATTGCATGTTTGGTCAATTTTGAACTGCAACTCATTGCTATCAAAAGGGATCCAACTCTAGCTGACCCTTCATTGAGTTTCTGAGCATGTAAGTCACTCACTTGGGAGGAGTTTGCCTATTATTCTCCTTTGAAGAGAATGCCAGAAAGACCAGTGGACATTGGGTGACCAGCCCAATTTACTAAGGCCTGTGTCGCCAGAGCTCCCTTAACCACCAGGGCCAGGAATTCTGAACAAGCTCTTGCGGAGTGTGAGTTTTTACCTATTGTGAGCAGCAGGTGGCAATGTGAGGACACAGGCCCTTAGGAGTAATGCTACAGATTCTTTACACAAACGAGCCAGTGAATTCAAGTGGAGATTGTCACTTTCAAGTATCTCAAGGACTTCAGATACTTTGTTGTATTTGCAGACATGCCACTTAAAGAAACTAGCAAGCACAAAATACTGACTTTGGTGAGACTCTTTGGTAAGTTGCTTAGTAACACAGTAATGCAAGTACGCATTGTTTGACAAGGAGTCACTAGGTACAAAGTCCACTCAACTGGTTTTACAATAGCTGATTAAAGAAAAGTTCTCCTCTTCCTCGTTACTGGATGTTGCTAAAAGATATGAGGACATGGCAACAAAATATGAATATTGTATCTATTATAACTCATTCTCATTCTCCTAATTTATTTCCTTCATGGCTATAGATTATTTTAATATATTTACATTGTGGTGTTAAAAAAAAGGGTGCTTAATATCACATGGATTGATAAAAGGACAAATATGCCTTGCAAAAGGTGCAACCAGGATGTTCTTTGGAGGCAAGAGTATTGAAACTTCATCTCACATACTTTGGGCATATTGTTAGGAGGGGGCCAACCCTTGTAAAAGGTCATGCTTGGAAAGGTGGAGGGTCAGTGAAGGAAGAGAAGACCCTGAATGAAATGGATTGGCAGTGATTTTAACGGTGGGCTCAAGTATGTCAGAGACGGTGACAAGATAGGGCAAGATTTAATTCCATTTTTCACAGGATCACCACGACTAATAGTCAACTCAATAGCACTTAATAACAACAACAACAGCACAACAGTAAGCATGTTGAGGAAAAAAAACAGATATTTCTTGATTGATAAATGCAGTTCTCAAGTTAAGGGGATATGTATGGTATCTGTCAAATACGGATAAATATGTTTCAAGGACAGAACAGCGTGAGATTATACTTAAATGACAATACTGATTGAGCCAAAAACTCAAGTAAAACATAACTGATCTGGTCATAAATTTTCAAACCCCATGACTCTTCTGAGTCACTGGATTCTGTTGGGGAAAGCTTGGTTATAGATTTCAGAGCTCCGTAATACCTTTAATATCTTCTACTTTCAGTCTTACATTGTATTTCAGTTTAAATTACATATGTTGTATATCCTCCTCACTTTTAGTATATCCTCCTCACTTTTAGTGTCATCTGTATAACACAGATTGTTGATGATTATTTGCTCAGCATACAGATTGTATAGGTAGGGAGAAAGTACATATCCCTGATGCATACCCTAATTTTAAACCATTGCTCCATTTAGATAAAAGAAGCCTAGTCTAGTTATACATTCCATATTAGCATTATTAAGTGTTCTAGGATTCCCAGTCTTCTCAACATAGCCATAATTTGTTACGGTCCACACAGTGAAATGCCTTTGCCTAGTCAACAAAATACAAACAGACATTCTTCTGGTATTCTCTTGTTCTAGCCAGTATTCATCAGATAACAGCAACAATATCCCTGATACAACAACCTCTTAAAACCAGCTTAAATTTCCAGTACTTTCCAGTCAATGTACTATTATAGCCACTTTGTTTTTGCTTTCTCCTATTTTACCCCAGTCATTTTTTTAATGATCTGCAACAATATTTTTGCTTGCATGAGATACTAATGAT